GGGGGCCAGCTGGGGCACAGAAATGACTGTATTCCTCTGCAGGACCTTACATTCTGCGGTAGTCCTGGAAGCCTTGAGACATTTAGCATCCAGCTACCTTACGGTGGTAATCTGTGAAATTCTTGGTATGTTGATTTTGGCTGCGTCATTGCAGCTGGGCAGCTAGTGCTGTGGTGTTGGTGCACTCAGATTCCCAGAAATAACTTGGCAATCAAACAGTGTGTCCAGTGCTGCAAGGTTTGCTTTTTGGATTTTATGTTAATAAAGTTTGACACTCTTTTCTTAGCTAACTACCCATTTCTTTTTTTCTGTTTATTCTGGACAAGTTGCAGTGCTGCTGCCAGTAAAGTCAAAAGCATGAGAAGATTTGGTCATGAAAATATCTGCATGACACTCAGACTTATTCACATTCAGCAAAAGAGCATCAAAACAAAATCCAGACTATTATTTTGACCCCCCAGGGGCAGAACAGTCACTCCTAAACCTCTTGAACATTATCTCCATTAAGATCTGACTCAGGACATGTATGTACGATGCTGCTTTATAATCCCATTTACAAGCATGTAAAATGAGGTTACTCAGAGATAGCATGAAACCAACATGCAGAATTATACACTGCACATTACAGGATAAGATCTCATTTTAGTTTTGGATTAGATAAGGGACAAGTATTACACAGACCCGGAGCAGAGGTGTCAACCAACGATCATTTTAGAAAATTGCTTCAGCTTTTAAAGCAAACTGCCAGTGCAAATATCAGAGTGCTGAGAGCCCTGGAGCCTTTGTGTGGGAATGAAGTGAGTGGTGAGATGTCAGAGCAGGTCATAATACTGGAAGTGAACGCAGAGCACAGTGACCCCTTCGAGTCACAGTCATCCATCGAGCCATCCCACCCTGCTGCAGCTCGCCTCAGGTCACCACCTTCTGCCTGCTGCCAGCTGCCCAGCCTTGAACACACTGCAAAAATCAACTAGTCCTCACCTCCAGCTACCAAGTGAAGAAATTCAATCATGTCACTTGTCTTTGCATTGGATGAGCGTGCAACAGATATTTACATCAACCCATTGTCAAGAAGAATTTTAGGAAATATGTTTAATAGCTTTTAGATACAGACAAAAACTGAGGACAGGTTGAAACTAGCAAGCAAGCTCACATGGCTCTGCCCAAAATTTTATCCCAAAACACCTCTAAAGCTCGCAGGTTAGTGCATTTTAGGTAATTTCTTGAATCCATTCATGAACAGAAATGTAAAATGGCAATTGGTAGTTTAACCCTCTGAGCAATTTCTGGTTGTGTTTTCCTCAAATCACTACTTTTGTCACTGTGGCCTCATTTCTCACTGCAAAAAAGAAGTCCTGCAAGTCCTGGAAGTAAACAGAACTAAAAGCTCTCTTTTGTGCAATAACACAATTATAATGCCGTAAATTAAAATGTAAAAATGGAAGTTGAATTTCTTTGTTTGCGATGTTTTTTTAAAATGGAAAAACCTATAATTAACATGTACATTTTCCAAATTCCCCTTGTGTGTTACAAATACTGGATCAGAGGGTCAAGAGGATGCTGTGACTGTCTGCAAGTAAATAAACTAGCTGAAGTCTGTTAATTAATGAGCTTTGATGGAGTTTTTTCACTTTAAATGTAGCTGAGCTGCCTGTTTCACTCTTGCAGCCTTTATGCTAAGCAAGGCTGACCATATCCTGCATATTTTTGAAGGCATAGGCATGAGACTGATACTAATCTTTTTATCTCGCTCTCAGAAAGAAAACAAAAGAGTGATTTTACTAAGTGAAATAATGCCATTATGGAGCATTATTCTTAGGCTTTCAATTTGACTTTTGATCATTTCTTTGTCTTTATTCTGTGATATTATCAGTATCTTTAAAGATGTTGCATAGATAGTTATCACATTTTCATCTTGCATTGTTTGTATTTCATGTTCCTGATATGCTGTCAGAGAACTAGCAGATGAGAGGAATGTCGCCTGGGACAAAAACATGAGCAGTCAGACAGATTTTATGCACTTTATGGAAATAAGGTCCAAGCTTTGATAAACCTCAGTACGCGTTGAACGAAAGAAATGATCATCTCCCCCGACTTTGACTGAATATGTCACCTGTCCTACATAAATAATACCTTGAGCCTGAAGTTGAGACTTGAACATCCATTATTTTTTAACAGTGTCAGGGGCTGAGGCCTGGCACAGTGCTGGTGCTGATAACAGATGAGCCCTACTTTTCTGTCTGTACTCCATTTGCAGCATAATGACCCAGAGAAAGAGAGTGACTGAGGGTGGGGTGGAGGGGATGAAGACAATTGAGAGAGAAATGTAAATCCAGAACAGTTGGGTGTGAATTTATGACCACGGTTGAAGCGTACTCTGTCATCCCGGCTGCGCTGCTGAACTGGTTCTTGTGGTGGAGCGGTTAAATTTAGCCGTCCCCTGCGTACCAGTGACTGGGGGGGGGGGAAAGAAACCATCACAAGGTCGTGGTGTCTCTTTCCCCTCTTGTTTTTCTCAGCCTGGTTTAGTCAAGATCCTATGGTGGAAAAGCCCGCACATCTGTAACTGCCGTGCATTGTGGTACACAAGCCACCTTCTAGTCACAAACAAAGTCATCTTCTCCTTTGCTTTAAATGAAGCTGGCAGCTCCTACTGATGTTTCATAGCTCTCCCCGCGCCTCTCTTTGAGGCTGGAGTTGTCATGCCCTGGCAAAGTAGCGAGAGCCGAGTGTGGCCTTGAAAGCTCACGCCATTATTTATTCATGTGTCTGCATGCAGATGTCGAGTTGAGATGAGAAATAGGGCTCCTGGCGGCTCAGAGGGCTGCACTTCTAATGAGGAAACTCAAGCCATTTTCCCTCTCAGGGATAGATTGACATCTAGATTTGCTCTTCAGCGAGGAGTAATTTCGATTCTGTCATGAGTAGGCACCTCGCTTTGTCCCCCTGAGTGCGGCGCTTACGCCAGGTGACGCCTCAGCCACCGCTGTGTACCGTCTGGTGGAGACACAGAGCTGAGCTGCCTCTGCTGCAGCCTCTGCCTGCAGTCATCTGAGCGGCTCGGTGTCTCCAGGGAGCATCTGGCCCAGCTCGAGCAGCCAGGTACAGTGGGAGCGTGGAGCCGCATCGCTTTCTCCCCTCTCTTCCTCCTTTGTTTGACTTTGTTCTTCTTGCGCTCCGCTGAGGCAGCCACGGGGAGGGAAAAGGAAAGGGAGAGGAGAAAGAGAAAGCAGCAGCTCCTCTCATCTCTGCCAAGCTCTCCGGCTGTCTTCCTCTGGCTCTTTGTTATGCCTCCACTGCTTCCCTCGCCGCCTAAAGCTACAGCTCCCTGGTGCAGGCAGATACCGCTGGGGTGGATCTGCCTGTGATGTGCTTATCATAAGGTTTGCCATCACCTGAGGGAGAGAGGCCGACTTATTGTTACTCTCCAGACTGAAAGAAAGAGAATAAACACATACAACCTTGATATGTTGTCATATCAGGAAGGGGGGATATCACAGGGCTTTCTGATTTTCATTTGCACTGCCAAATCACTGCTGCATTTACTTCACTAATTCTTTTGTTCTGCAGCACCAGCAGACTGCTGCTAGTTGCTGGTGCAGATATTCATGCCCCCAGAAATCACCTGACACTGATTTGGATCAGGTTGACAAGTCACTGCCCCCCTCAATCTGTCATACTGGCACACTTCCAGATGCTAAGGGACAGATGGAGGGGGACTCTTTTCTTGGATCACCTTTTCCCCCCTCTGCTTGAGAATGTGCTACATGTTAAACATGAGGCGGAGAGAGCTGAAAGCTCACAAAGTCCTGCTCTCTGAGGCACATGGAACAGTGCTCTTTTGCCATCTTGTGGTCTAATGTAGAAACTGCTTTATAGTCAATGGACCCGATGATACATTGATTCACCTTGTAAATTCTCCTCGATGGTACATTTAGCTGTAATCCCTCTTTGTCTCTAATTAAAAGAGAGTGTTGGAGAAGTCTTTGTTGTGGCTTGCTATGTAGCAGAGATGAAATTATGAAAAAGCTCAAAAGTTGCAAGTCTTGAAAACTGAAATCATATTTCCTCCTAATCGTTGACTTAAATAATGAATGTAAAAGATCCATTTTACATTTAATAATTAAATTATAACTTAACATCAAGTCTTTTCTTTTGATTGCGCTATTCTTTGTAATTACTTTGTAGATTTCATGGACAGCTTCTTTATGTGCTGCTTTTTTCTTGTGTGTAGTTTTTGTGTTCGTTATCTTGCCTTTACATACTCAGTTACATTGAACATGGTAAACTTGGCATCTTAAGACATTCATCACATATTTATATGATTAACTCTTTGTCTCAAGGAGCACAATTTTTTCTTTTATTTAGGGGGAGACCAGTTTTGATTCCTTTTCCTTTTGTTGCAAAGTGCTAAATTAGTGCTGTTATTGTTATTAACAGGCTACATTTGAATGATTAAAGCTGAGATGGTTGAGAGGGGAGGTTCTAGATTGAATGGTCTTTAAATTTGTATTTAAAGTGTGCATTTCCAGTATACAAAAAAAAAAGGTAACAAATGAAATAACAAAAATCATTATATATGAGTAGCAGCTCTATTTTTTTATTCTGGTTTTAAATGATACATTGAGAAAAAGGTTTCAAATTTGCATTTTTGCTATTTCAGTTACTTGTGTTTATATGATGTGCCATTTCATACTTCTTTTGTGTTCTGTTTATTATTGATATCATCTTTTTTCTTTGTTGTCATATTTAATTATTTTTCTATATTCACCCCATTAATGTGGTTAATTGCAAGTAATTAATTAGTTTATAAAAGCATTTTATATGTAAGTGAATATAATGAAACACTCTAAACAACTACAATGAATCAATTCGGTTGAAACAATCAAGACTTCGTACAAAAGCAGGAAAATCTTCTTCCCAGTTTGATTAACACTGAATAACATGTAACATTGCACCTATCTCATAAATAATGTCTGGTGTTTTCCTTCTTTTTCCAGGTGAAGCTTCCTTTCCCTGTAGATCAAATCACAAATCTTCCACGGAATGACTTCCAAATGTTGGTAAAAATGCACAAACTGACCTCGGAGCAGCTTGAGTTCATCCATGACGTGAGGCGGCGGAGTAAGAACCGCATCGCGGCGCAGCGCTGCCGCAAGAGAAAGCTCGACTGCATCCTGAACCTGGAGTGTGAGATCAGAAAACTGGTGAGTGGACTGTTTGTACCACCAGCTGTCCTCTGGTCCTGAGACTCTCCTCTGTAGACACCTCGTCATCAGGAATGACAATGACCTTAATCACCACCTGAACGAAGCAAAAGAAATGATGATGTGGCTAAATACTTGCTCTCAGAAGGGTGGGCATTGTTTCAAGTGGCTCCATTCTGTCAGCACTTTCACACCATCACAGTGCACTCTGGTCATTGTTCTGGCTGTGTGGAGCCCTGTGTGGGTTGGTGAAGATGAGGCTTCTGGAGGTACCTTCAGAATTGGGCGGGTTGAAAAGTTCGGCGAAAATGTATTTTCATGAGAATCAGCTACTTTGGTTTGTGTGAAGTGACAGTAGCACAGCATGGTAGCTGATGACCTCATTACATGACAGACTTTGAGAGAAAGAGTTTGATATCTGATATGAAAGGGACATCACAAACACAGGCTTTGTCAGCATTTAGTGGCAGGATGTCTGGACTGACACAGTATCTTGACTTTTTTTTTTTCTCTCTCTCTCTCTTCCTGTCTCATCAAATTACAGCAGCCTTTGGCCTGTAAATCACAAAGTCATAGTGTCCAACCAATGACAAAGTAATATTTCATCCTGTAAACTAGAATCATTACATTGATGTAATTTGCATTGTTGGCTCAACATCAAAGTCTCTTAGCCTTTGAAGCAGAAAGGGTTTGGCACTGACTGATAGCAGTACACTCCGTCATGATTTGTATCAAACAGCTCATTTTTGTGTGATGGAAAAAAAAAAGAAGAAATCTTTATTCTACCTAATCAGATTTATGAATTACAGAGTGTGTTTCAGATGCCAGCCCAGATGTATTTTTTGCCTTATCTGCCACAAAAAAAACAACACACATTTAATGTGCCTTTTGCAAACTTGATTCGAACAACATTTATAAATGGTTTGAAATCCAATCAATTTCTACAGATGCGTCTTAATGCGGACGCTTTGGCAGCTCAAATCAGATGTTTTTTGTAGCACTTGCAACATTACACACAGTGACAACATCAAACAGTGTGACAGGAATACAAACCAGAATCCCTGCTGCTATCAGCAGAGTGCAATGGAGTACAACTTGGAGAACAACTGTTTGTTGGCAGACTTAGGTATATAGTTACTGGCATATGCTATATTAATAATACTGACCAATGTGACCCATACAGATAGATCAGTGATACTTATAAATACAAATCCATTCAGATCATTGGCAAAATGGACAATCTGTCCTTAACATCTCATTTGGGAAACAGATCTGATTTACCTGCAGTCTGAACAAAGCCTAACAGCCTTACAACAGTGAGTCAGTAACATTGGTGTTATTGAACCTGTTCTAAAAATTCTCAGCTGCAGCTCTTCCAAGTCTGATACAATTGAAATGAAGCACAATGATATTGCATCTATTTTAGCCACAGCAATATGAGGAGGCCTCTACATTTGAACCATTTGGAGAGCTGCTGACGGTGATGACGGCTTGAAATGATGATGACTCAAAACTGTCAAACATCTCCAAGTATTAGTCATTTTAGACTAAACAACTGTTATGTAATGCATTAGCAAAAGAGGGACAAAGTGTCCTTATCAGAAAGAGTTTTGAGTCTGAACGAATGACTTGTGCGCTGATAAGGACTTAAAATAATGTTTGTATGCAGTTTCCTGACAAGTGACCTTTTATCATATAAAGACTCATATCTGTCCAAAGTAAAAGACATTTTCTTTCTCCACCTAAACAAACCTTAACCATATGCAGTGGCAGACATGAATTATTGTAGCTTTTTTTTTTTTTTTTTTGGAAATTATGATGCAAGATGATTTAGGACAGACAGACCAGAGTGTGTTAAACATTACTTATTTAAAAAGTACAACCTGCACACTGACTTGTATTTACAAAAAGCTAATATTTTGATCCTAGTCAGATCTTTTACAGGTCAAAATGGTTAATAATAGATTGCACAACCATTTAAATTGATAAGCCAGATTGTCCTTTATGTGCAGCTGCAAACAGCTCCAACCTGCAGCAGGTCCTTCAAGACCTGGCAGTTTCAAATTGAAGGCACTGTGGATCAGACCTGTTAACACACTGTGGCTGCCTGATAACTTGTTCCTCTTCGGACTACTGTTGGTTCAGAGGTGCTTTGACCCAGTCCTCTGGACATAATGATTTGATCCTGCGGTCTCTGCACTGACTCCAACACAAGACCCTGCTTACTGTTTTAAAATATCTTTGATTTTGACTTTTGCTGTTGTTACAAGATAATCGTCATTGTTCGGATCTATGAGTGGTCAGAATGTTGTGGTTAATTGATGTATACATATAAATATTGTCTATATTTTCTTAACAATGGGCAGACAGGTGTGGTCACTATCTAACCTGCCCTTGATGAGCCTAAATGTCCCTTGTGATGGCAGACAAGAATAATCTCTGTGTCAAGGAGTCATAGGTTAATGACTCCTCTAGACCACGGGGCCTTTCAGTTAGAAAAACAACATATTGGTGGAAGATTTGTTTAAGAGGAAATTACTTTTACACATTTTAATAGCCTGCTTTGAGGACCTAAAGAAAAAGTGCATTTGTTGGGAAGAATTTGTCCCATATAGTGCCCCAGTTTCTCAATAAGAACGTAATGTAAGTACTACAGGTAGAGTGATTTATCAGGTGAATGGGATAACAGTCTGACTACTCAGTAGGCAGTGAGTTGAAGCTTTTTCTGTTGCACACAAACCATCTTGTTGATTGCACTTTTATATTGAGTCATGATCTGTGTGTGTGTGTGTGTGTGTGTGCAGGTGTGTGAGAAGGAGAAGTTGCTGACGGAGAGGAACCAGCTGAAGGCGTGCATGGGCGAACTGTGGGAGAACTTCTCCTGTCTGTCGCAGGAGGTGTGCAGGGACGTCCAGCTGAGCCCCGAGCAGGTCCAGTCTTTACACCACTACTGCCCCGTGCTGCGGCCCGCCAACTCCACTGCCAGCAACAACGCTGCCCACGAGCCCAAGCCTGCCCTCAGCGCCCCCAGCACCACCACCACCACCACCACCACTGCCGCTGCCACCAGCATCGACCTCACCACCCACTCCGGCTCGGCAACGCCGGAACCCAGCTTCCACGGGTCGCCAGGCCCCTCGGAGAGCGAGCCCGACTCGGCCGTCAGAAACGGGGCGGACAAAGATACGGACGGCCAAGACTCCAGCTTGTACACAAAGTCAGGGCTGTCCGTGGAAAAATCCAACCAGACGGTAACGGTGGATTTTTGCCAGGAGATGACTGACAAATGTACAACTGACGAGCAGCCAAGGAAGGACTGTACTAAGTAGTGGTGGTTCTCTGTATTGTTGTTTTTGGATTTTTTGTTTGTTTGTTTGTTTGTTTTTTTATTATTTAATTTTACTCTTCTGACAAACCCTCTCTCAGGGTTGTTGAGACGGTCAGCCTCTGCCAGTGTTCACTGAAAAACAAGCTTTGTTTGTATTTATGTCTTTTTGTGCTGTCTATTTTTTTTTTCTTTTTGTTTTTTTTTTTTTGAACGGTTGACACTAAAGTTGTCTTAACAGCAGCAATACTGTTCTCCAGGTATTCTCCTAACCATGACAGAGTGGGAACTTCTCACCAAACCCTTACAATGGTGCTATACTCGCCCCGGCAGCAAACCTCTACAGTGGAGACTCTGTTCTTCATGTGTCACACATCACACACTCGAAGTCAAACCTCATCGGACCTAAACAGCAGCTCTCTTTGTCTCTCTGTGTACCAACAGTATCTCTGTTCCTGCCTTTCTCTTTTCCTCTTCTCTTTTCCCCCCCCACTCTGTCTCTATCAATCTCTTCTACCTCTCACTCTTTCTATCTCTTTTTTAATTTCTCTCTCTCTCTCTGTTTTTTTTTTTTTCTCGCTATATCTCAGTGGCCCTTTTCGTCACAGCAATTCAAACTCAGGAAAAAAAAAAAATCCTCTGAATGTTCAACCTAATTCATGAAAAATGAGAATACAGCTTCTGTACGCGAGGAAGTTGTGATGCAGTGAGACTGTAAAATGTTCATATGCAAAAATGTCTTCAAGCGTCTCGCATTTGTATTTCTGTACAGGAGAACTTTGTACAGGCTGTAACCGAAAACATTCCTCCTATGCCTTCCACAGCACTGAATTGAAAGATGGAAAAAAAAAAAAGAAAAAGAAAAAAAAAAGGCTTTTGCAGGCGGTTAAATGGCTATTTTTATTTCCCACTCATCAGCAATACCATTGTATTTGGATGTTGTAACAGTGACTTTCAAGTGCTTGTTTGGCAGAAAAGTGTATATAGTATGGAGCATGATGACTGTAACAGTGATTTTGTACAGGTAGAGGCTTAGATGTTTCTTTTTCACCGGGGTTATATCAAGCACCTTTTTGCTAAGGGAAAAATCTTTGCTTTGCTGTTTCCTGTCCTGCCTAACGAATGCTCCCCATCACGGTGGGTGTTCTTATACTCAGGAAATCAGCTCGATACACATGTAGACACACACATGCGCAGTACATACAGATGTCCACACACACATGTAAAATTTTGAGCCCCTTGCATGTATAAAAGTTAGACATTCAAGACGCGTTTTTAAACGCGTGGCTCAGGCCAGCTCCTCCTCTCCACCTTTGACTCCTCTTTAAATGTGAAAAAGACTTCTTCCTTGTGTTCTTCTTTGTTTTTGTTGTTGTTTTGTTTTTTTGGGGGGGAAGAAATCTTATTTCTTATCAGTATTTAAAGATGCTATTTGTGTACACTCTCGCAGACACGCTCTGGGTTTCTTCAGTGTTGCCATTGTGAAAAGCAAAGTCATTTTTTTCCCCCATATTGATCCTGAATAAGATAAAATGGACAAAAGCAACACACGATGAAAAAAAAAAACAAAACATAATTCAGGCACTTTGTTTCCAGCCCCAAGCGCTCAGAGCCATTTAGCACTTCATTGAGGGTCTTGTCTTTGTTTCAGACCCCTTAAAAGTCTGAAACTGGAGCACTTAAATTGGCACTTCAAAAGGAAACATCTTGTTGATATGATTATATGAATATACAGGAAAAAAAATGAAGAATCTGAAACCTAAACACAAAAGGAAGCTAATGTTTTAGTATATGAGTGTTCACACCTTATATTTGTATTTCTTTAGGATTTGAATAAGCTAATTCAGACTTCATTTGACGTGAAAGCAGTGTATGTGTTGTCCAAATGATTGAGTAACAATCATATAAGATAGTAACATGTTTGCCCTAATTGTGCATTTGTTTGAACATCCTACTTTGTGATGTGCATGCATGCTGCCTATAGCTATAAGCCTAGTTAGTCGGTCTAGCTTCTGTTTTGCCTTGTAAGTTCTCTCTGGAGCAGTCTGCTTTTAAAATGCTATTTTTTTAAATTTCTATGTATAAAGAAGCTGAATTATGTCAACCTCACTAGAGGCAGGCTTTAAAGTACGAGCAGGGTGCCGTACTCTAGCACAAAGGTTGAATTCAATTGGAACGCGAAGCTTTGTTCATCGCTCTTTAAAGCCCCGATCCAAAATGGCGCTCCCTGTTAGCGTAGCAGAGCTGAAGCTAACGTCACCTAACATTTCTTTCAGTTTAAAAAAAAAAACAAAACAGGTGTGTATCCTTACTCTAAAAGAAACAAATGTCTACTACAGTACTAGCTATTAAAATTTAAACCTTAAAAACTGCTAGTTTAACAAAGAAACAAAACAACAAAAAGCATAAAAAAACACCGATTTGAAGCTTCACCAACCAAAACACACATCACATTAGAAAAAATTAATAACAATAGCAAAAATGGAAAGAAAAACAACAATTTTGAGGATTTCCATTTTTCTCAAACAACCCAAATTCTTTCTGCTTTTTTAGTTTTTTTCAGCGATTGGCAAAGAACAGGGTTTTTCTGGCGTATTCAACTAGGATTATTACAGTCGTGTCTACTTCTGAATACTTAATACATTTTCCGTCATTTCAAAAGTTTGCTTCAAAAATGCCTGATAACTATGTGGAAACACAACTTATGGTATCTAATTACACTGATTAAAAAAAATACAAATAAAAAATCCTACTGACATTTGCAATAATGTAATGCTAAAAATGTCAACCAAAAACACAGCCGTTATCGAGCAACATTTACTATGTTAAAATTACAAAGTTTCCAATTCTGATAGAAAGTGCTGTAGTAGATATTAGTTTATCTTATAGAAATTAAACATGTGGCCTCACAAAAAATGTTTGATTAGCCTTTAAGATGAATTTTAAGCTATATATTTCATTCTTGAAAACCCCATGTTATTATTTTGTGGCCAAATATACCTAGGATTGGGGCTTTAAGGTTTGGATGACATGAAGTTCCCCCCCACCAATCCCCCTACCCTCGACTTTACTGATGTAAATTTTAGATGTAGTACAAAATACGATCTCATGTGACAGAGCAACTCTAAGTGTATTTTATGAACCCGTCTTTAAATCGTTAAAAGACTGATCCCTATTTTGTAGAGTACACAGACACGTACAAACACACGCACACATTCACATATATTCATTAGACACACACACACAGTGCATATGTGTTGGCACAGCCTGAGTGCGGAGCAGTCGTGACTCTTCGTCGACTGATGTGGTTTCTCGTGTTTGTTCAGCCCTCGTTTTCCTGATTTGTGCTCTTTTCATTCACGAACACATATTTACTGAACCAGAACAGTATTTAACCATGTTGACATTCGGCCGGGTTCAAGCCAGAAAGTGGAACGATCCATGTTACAAACACCTCTTTTCTGCAAGCATCGCAACTCATTTTCTCATTTTCTTGGCTCGTTCTTAAACTGAGGAAGCCTGGTGTTGCACTGGAGAGCAGACTTCTTTTTTGTTATTTTTTTAAATTGAATTCATGAAGTCTGTGTCTTGTGATGTGTCCCAACAGTGATCACAATGATCTGTATCACCTACTGTATGTTGCTCATTCAACTTAACTAACCCTAACATTCCCACAGAGTTAAGATGCAGAGATGAAACAACACTCTCCCTCTCTCCGACCTTTTAGTCGAGATTTCGAAGCCCTTTGAGTCTTGTTGCATACTACTGAGTGCAACAGCAGGTTTCCTCAGTTTCAATTGTGAGATGAGTTAAGAATCTTAATAACATCCTAGAACAGTCTAGTTTACACCAAGGAGACTATCATTTCCTCTGTTGTTTATTGGAGTCAGTTTACAAAAAATTATCTTTTGTCTTGTGGCATCTACCCATACATGTAGTTTTGGTTTCATCTTGTCCAGGTTTTAAGATCTGTGTCTTTTGATGTTTCTGCCTTCACTCAAAATTCTTATTTGAGGTGCTCACATCACACACACACACACACACACACAAAGTCTGCAGTAGCATCTCTGTTTTAGAAACAGCATTTTTAGAGTCACGCAATTCCAACAAAAGCTGTAATCGCAACAAATTTAAAACTGCATTAACGTGCATCATATTAGGGTGACGCAGAAATATCAAACAAATCATTGCAAAACCAAAGCTATCTGCATGGCCAAATACCAGCAGAAGCAAGTGAGAAAATGTGTTTCAATGTCATTTTGGTGAACCATCCCTCTAATGTCTCAGGGTGCCAAGCATTTAAACCTGCGTTCTCTATCACTCTGAAGCAGACTATATTTTTTTCTTTTTTTTTTTTTTTGTTACTTGCTTTGTTCAAAAGTCAAACAAAAGGTTCCTTAAAAAATGTTATATCTTTAAAAAGCAGCATTAATTGATTTTTAGTGGCCACTAGTGGGCAGCAGAACAAGCTACAAATGCAACATTGGCAGAAAAAAAAAAAAAGAAAAAGACCCGGTGAATGTTACGTTCAATATTCACTCTCTTTTAGCTCTGTTTTGGGTCTCCACTCATTCATGTGGAAAGATTTCCGACTCTTTAGCTGTTACTGATAGAAGATTTGAGCGTACTAGTTGTAAAACCAGAACAATGAGCTAAAAAGAGCTGACAAGCAGAACAAAGGCAGATGCAGAGTTGGTGATTATTCTCTGCAGGTTCATTACGAGCAGCTTATTTCACCCTAGTCATCTTGGCAACTATTCACATACAAATATTAACTAGTGCAGCTGTAATATGATAAACATTGAAAACACCTCAAATGAATTTGATGTTTTAATATAAGGAATCCTTCAGGTGATTTTTTTTTTTTTTTTTTTTTGCTGGCCAAACATGTCGTTTTCGGCCATTTTCACAGTTTGATTTTTGTGAACAATTTTTACTGTTGCTGTAGCTCTGTAATTGAAGGCTCTTACCTTTTTGCTGTGTATTTGTCTTGTTTAGTAACACTTTTTGTCGCTGCTTCTCTGAAACAAACACTGGCTTTTGCAACTCCAAAGGTTGTTCTATGAAAGAATATGAACAAAAACATGCCTTTCTCACAGATTGCTCAACTTTACTGAAAGAAAAAGAAAATCTGGTATCCTGGTTGAATGCGCAGGCTGAGATCATTGAGTAAAATCTAAAAATGGAATATGTTTACAAATAGGTGTCATGTCATGTTTGATCAATTTTTGCCATGTAAAAAATTGCTCGGTTCAATTGGACTGGTTTTTGGTGTTGTGTAAGAAACAAAGAATGAGTTTCCTCACCTTGTCTTTAATCCAACTTTTGGGATGGGTCAGCATTACATGGATACAAGTGCACCTCCGATATTTGCCTTAGAACTTGCAGAGGCCATAGTTCACATTCAAGTGAAGTGAGTGTATGCAGGGGCCTGGGCCCCCATCCCTGAGTCACCAGTGCGGACTTTCTCACACTTATCTACCTGTGAAATCCTTCATACCTCTCATAACTGGTCAATGACTGTATCAGCAAACTGCATCAGGTGTTTTTTCTACATGCTTTTTACACAGATTATATGGATTATTGTATTAGTAGATTTTGGTGCATCATTTTTAATGTAATAGCTCTTAAGCTTGTAGTTCAAGTTGTTGTTTTTTTTCTCTCATTTTTCTAGATGACTGTTTTGTGTTAATATTGTCAATTTGAAATAGCTGTTATTTGCTTATTCTCTACTAAGAGTTCTTACCTAATTTTTAAATGCTACATGACCCTAATTAATTAAATGACTTAATAACCATTGTAAATACGGTATTGTGCAAACCCCATTTTCATTCATTTCAATTGCTAGTGTTATATAAATGACTTTTTTGTCTAGACACCATTTCTCTTTATGAAATAAAGAAACATGCATATCACGTCTTGGTGTATTGTGGATGTTTTCGCAGCGACACAGAATCAGAATCAGCAAAAAATTGTGTTCATGTATGATCCCTTTGATGTTACACGTATTTATTTGTTATTAAAAACAACAATTAGTGCAGCTTTAAAACTCCTCCTGTCTGGAGGATGGAACCCTGTATCACAGTCTATAAGAGCTCAGTTGAAAGTATTTTCTAATGAATAATCTAATTATATTCAAATTACAATACACTAATTGATACTCAGCAGATTTTAAGTAGGTTACCATCAGTACCACCTCCCACATTCAACATGTATTCCTATGTAGTTATTTTAAACAGAATATGTTATTTCACGGGCGCATTTGGTTAGCACTGTTGCCTCGCAGCAAGAAGGTTGCCGGTTCACGTCCCGGTGGGGGCACCGGAATCTTTCTGCGTGGAGTTTGCATGTTCTCCCCGTGCAGTGTGGGTTCTCTCCGGGTTCTCCGGCTTCCTCCCACAAAGTCCAAAAACATGTTGAGGTTAATTGGTGATTCTAAATTGTCCGTAGGTGTGAATGTGAGTGTGCTTGGTTGTCTGTCTCTAAGTGAAGCCCTGCGATAGACTGGCGACCTGTCCAGCGTGTCCCCTGCCTTCGCCCTGAGTCAGCTGGGATAGGCTCCGCGACCCGATTAAGCAGTGTATAGATAATGGATGGATGGATGTTATTTCACACGATTAAGTACATAAAACTGCCAGCGTTTGGTCAGTTTTGTCTAGTCTTACAACAATTTGGAGTGTCAGACTCTTCAAGGATAAGTTAGCTCAATATTTTCACTATTTAACCATCACTTTTTTTTTTCAGCAATCCTTTTAGCTGACTATTTTCAATTTTTATCCAACTTTTAGTCAGTTTAACCATTCACCCATGACTGTTACTTTGACATTTCAACCACTTACCAAGTGTTGGGTAGCAGGGAGAACCTCGTCAATAAGAATCATGAATAGAAATCAACAGGACAGAATTCAGGAAAGACGGTGATAGTATGATTATATGTCATGTCCCTCAACCCAAAAAGCCAGTCGTCTGCTTTATAACAGCTAAACGTGCAAACATCCAGCCTATTGTGTTGTTGCACCGAAGCGAATATGGTGTCATAAACTGTAGTCGAAGTAGAACCTTAAAACTGTATTTTTAGGCTAAGACAACAAACTTTTTTTTAATTTTTTTTTTTCAAATGTAATTATTTATTACGTAGATTTCACTGGCTATTCTCGTTATCGTGCTTTCTAAATTCATTTAAATAGGAGTTTGGTCCTGCTAGCCCAAAATAATTGCTGGAGCGTTACCAAGATGGCTGCCGAGTGGTGAGATTTGCCTAAACATACTTTACCCTTTGCCAACTATTTTAGCTGCTTTTCCATGATTTTGTTCTATTTAAACCATTTAACTGTTATTCCTTGCTAACAATTGCACTCCTTTATCCACTACATTTAGCTAGCTTGGTATCATTTACCAACTACCCAGTAGCGAACCAGCTGCTGAATTTCTTTAGGCTATTTTATCAATTTATCAATTACTTTTGCTAACTAGTTCAACTGCATGTCAATAACTTTAAGGTTGCTATTCAAACTATTCATCCATGACTTTTAGCTGACACATTTAATACTTTATTCATAATTCTTAGTCTAATTCTTAACCAATTTTCTGCTCGTTGGCTTGAAATAGCTAACTGTTATTCAAGCTAGCTATTTCAACCATGTCGCCATTGTTTTCAGCTATTTTATTTGATTTTTGCATACTTTTTGCATTTTTACCATATCTTTTGCTGTTTTTCCATTACTTGCAGGTAACTGTGAAGACATTTCTGCAGCTGATTTGATAAATTTTCACTCACTTTCAATCACAAAACCAAAACATTTCTTAAAATTATTGTTTAATGAGTGCTTTAACTTTGAATGAGAGCTTACTTTGACCTGGGAGAGTAAAGCTTTAACTCAGAAGTGGTAGATTTATGCTTGTCATATATCAACACATTAGTTGCAACAAAGTCTGGTTGACGTCCATCTTTGTCAGTAACAACCGTTGCAAATCAAATCACCTAACTTTCTGCAAGATTGTTATGTGAAAGTTCTTTTTCCACAGGTATGTAATCAGCTATTTATAAAATCAGTATCTTACCTGTGGGTATAACTGTAACACTGCATGCTCAACAAATTTTGCATGATGGTCATCCAATAAACTAGCCAGGGACCAGTAAATAACCTATAATTATGATGACGTGACTGGCAGGTACATATTCTGCCAAGCAGCACCTGGTCATAATAGTTTTTCAACAATGTTTTGGTATAAATATTTTGTTTTCAAAGGAAAGGCTGTTGGGTTATTCTTAATATCTTCACTTTCAAATGTACCGCCCTGTAAACAGAGTCAATTCAGTACCTACTGAAGAGGAGGAAATGTTTAATAGAAAAAAAAAACACGAGACAAGAGAAACATTTACAATTACAGTTTAGACGTTTCAGATATATTCATGAACAATATTCAGCTACTCTTTGTCAAAATACAATTTTGAATTAGAAGAGCCCTTTTGTCCCTCCAGCTCATTCTGTATGATAAATCCATAGACTGTAAATAAAGTGTAGAGATACCATATTATAAGATTTATTGGAATAAAAAAGCCGCTCAGTGAAAAAAAAAAGAAAAAAAAGATTTCACCATTTTCCAGCTGTTCCTTTTCCAAAGGAAGGAAAATACTTTTAGGGCTAATATACATTATGTAATGAATGTGGAAATTGTGGTAGCGCACTTTGGCCACTTATCCAAAGTCACTACAATGTCCTTTGCTGTTCCTGGGGGCTTGATATAAAGATAGATGAAATGATGGCTCTCTGCAAGTAGAGCCAAAATATTTTATCGCCCCCTGGTGGCTGATTGGTGTACATGAGTCCAACTAAAAACTCTTAATTGCCTCAAAATATTTGTTTTCCAGATATGATTCCTGTCAAATATTTCAGTATTTCTTACCATCTTTTTAAAAAAAAATGAAAAGGTGTATGTTGTGATAATTGTCAACGTTTGCAAATTTCTGTTCAGGAATCATTTAAACTGTTGCTTTCTCTGTCTTTAGCATTGTCTTTTTCAAAGTACAAAATGAGGGATCTTGGGGAACTCTGCAGATTTTTCCGTACAGTTAATCAAATTAGTTCCCAGTCTATGGGGGAAAAAAATAGCTGATATGTAGCTTGCTAGCTAGACAACTAGCAGTTACCAGTCACATTTTACAGAAAAAATATCAATACCAATAACATGTCTCCACCACTTGGTCATTACAGCATGGACTCTGGTTGCAAATGACGTCGCTGGCGAAGTTGGCAGTGGCCATTTCTGGGATACTTTACCTTTACTTATGTATAGTGGGAGCAAGTGATGACATGTTGTCTTTATATACAGTCTATGGATAAACCATAAACACTGGTTTAGATAGTTGGGGGTTTTTTTGTTTGTTTGTTTTTTTTGTGGTTGCCAATTCCACAATCTTTGATTACAATCTCATGTCAAATAGCTTTGCAACAGACTTTTGGTCTCATTTTATGAGCAGTCAGCTTCGACCTGAATACAACTTTGGTTGATCTTTGACTCATTGTCTCCAAAAACTATCCGCTAATCTAAACAGCAAGTAGGTTGCAGTCATTGTAATGAAATGCTTGAGAAATCTTTTGCATAGAACATGAAGCAAATCATAAAGCATCTGCCTCTTAAATTGTGTGTTAACATAACTGAACAGAATCTCTTGTACCTGCATAATACATACTGTATAAACACTGTGTTCAAACATAATGTTGCTGTTGAGAGACAGGATGAGATTCGCTTTGCGATCAGGAGCCCTCGGCCCCTTTATAACTCCCATATGCCTCTAGCTTGGTCCCAAAGCGGTCATTTTCAGTTTACTTTTTCATGATGGAAGACAGCTCCAGAATCATACTCTGAAAGAGAAAATGTGGACACTGTATTACTAAACAAATCACAGACACAATACAGTTATCTAAACAGCAAACTGAAAATATATATATATATATATTGATCTCATGTAGTTCAGAGATTCCCATCCAGGCATGTTTCAAGATGTATAAAAATACTCTTCTTTAAAAAAAAACATGTCCCTGATATAGTTTCTTAAATAAATTATACACACATATATATAAATAATTATAAAGTAAGAACCTCTTCAAATTGCTTTACTGAAAAATCTAGAATCTGCAAAAATGTGAACATTTTTCATCTTAAAAGTTGAATTACCAGATACAAGACATCACCCACATTTTCATTGTTCTACATTATCATTATTCCATATTGCTCTTGTGTGAGCTGCTTTTTGGACCAAGATTGGCTTCCAAAGTAGTTGTCACAAATCCTTTTTGGAACTACAACTTCAAACATCCAGGAGTAAAATTGATGAAAATATTTTTAAATACATGTCTTTGTGAAATCACTGATGGAATTCTAGAGCAATAGAACACAATATTGACCACACCCATCTTTCGACTACAACTACTTCCTATCAGTCTTGTTATTAGTTGATCTGTGAAACTTTTTTTTTTTTGCCTCAGTGTTGTCCAGCAGAGAGCAGCATAAACCTGCCAATACGAAATACAAACACTGTCATTAGTTTTCATGATAAGGTGTGAATTAGCTTTTTTATTGTGTTGTCGATGCCAAAATGAAAAACAATCCAGAGGTCAATCACAGCCTGGGGGCAGATCTCAGTGTGACCGATGTGTTTGATGGCAGACACATTTAACAATGGGTCACTGGATTCACTTAATTTTTTGCCTAAAGGTATTTGACATCTTCAATAGGCAAACTTTTCAGCTGGTCACAATTTGTAGGATTGCTTATTTGTATGTGCACCTTTGTAAATCCATTTAGCTAAACTCATCACACAGCCAAGTTTGCTCACCATGGACATCCTCCTGCCACTGGCTGGAGGTGGTGGGGTCATCACTGGGCTCTCCCCCTGGTTGAGAAGCTGAGTTTCGACATCTGCTCCGCTCTGAGAGTCTCCGCTGTCAGCCAAACTGGCTAATTTGCTCTCTGACAGTCCCCGGGACATAAAACTGCACTTCCTGGCTGGGGTAGGGTAGTGGTCGCTCTCTGGAGAATCACTCATGTCACTGAGCTCCTTACAGACGCTCACTCTGCTCTGCTTCCTCTGTGGGTTCTTCAGGGCTGCTGGAATCTCCATGTGGCCGGCCATCAGCGTAGGTCGAGGTCCTGCATAGCGTGGCTTGCTCGAGCCGTGAGGTCCATTGGACTCATCGCTGCTGCACGAGGGCTTCCTGTTTTCCAGAGTGTGGCGTCGCTCCACAGCCCCTACCTGTTGCAGACTATGCATGTCGGCTTGACTCGGCTGGTACATCTGTGCAAGCTTCTGGTTGGAGTTGTTGGAGACCTCCTGATTCTGAAGGGCCACTGGGACCAAATGCAAAGGCAGAGTTTCCCCATGAGCATCAGGCACAACAGAGCAAGTCATGTGCGTGAGCTGCATCAACCTCTGTGGTGAGGAGTTAGTGAGCACACAAACCTGCTGCACCATGGAGTTTTTCTTTGACCTGCACATACTGTCATCGTCTCCATATTTGTATCCGTACAAAATTAGTTTGATCTTCTTCATTCCCAGATGGAAAATCTCCAGGAGGTTGAGGAATAAAGAAACTCCAGCAATAACCAGCATAAAAACCATAAAAATATTCTTCTCTGTTGGTCGTGACACAAAACAGTCGACACTGTTGGGACAAGGCAACCTTTCACATTTGTACAAAGGCGACAGTCCAATGCCGTACAGAGCACACTGACCAATAATGAAACCCACCTCCACCACAGATCTGGTCAAGATATGGAAAACATATGTGCGCAGCAAGGAGCCTCTGAGTGGAGCTTTCCTTACTCTTTTCTGTTCATCTAGTTTCCTGAGCTCTCGCTCAATTCTCCTATGGTCCTCCTGGACAGGGTCCGTTCCCTCCAGCTCAGCCTTCAGAAAGGCTTTCTTCCTGTGCCTCTCCTTCTCAAGTGTTCTCAGACGGTACAAAGCATGGCCCATGTAGACCAGTGAGGGGGAGGACACAAAGATGATCTGCAGGACCCAGTAGCGGATGAGGGAGATGGGAAAAGCCTGGTCGTAGCAGACGTTCTTGCAGCCAGGTTGCTCTGTGTTGCAAACAAACTCACTCTGTTCATCGTCCCAGACGTCCTCAGCCGCAACACCAAGCACAAGCATCCGGAAAATGAAGAGGATGGTGAGCCAGATCTTCCCCACGATGGTGGAATGAATGTGGACTTCTTCTAAAATGCTCCCTAATAAGTTCCAATCCCCCATCTTCTGTCATATTATTATTGGCTGTAAGTAAGTAAAGAAAAACTTGAGTAGTTGAGCAGTTTGTCTTGTGTGTTTTAGCATAAAGCCATTATGAAAGAGATTCATCTGCAGCAACATCAGGGCTCATTGGTCATCCCTCGAAGACAGACGAGACTATGCTGCAGTGTAGCTGACACTATTTCAATGCTGCTGCAAACTAGGACTCCCGTTTGAAGCCATTGATCCACCACAGCACCCTATAATGCCCCGAGGTAAGGTTCATCCTGCCACTTTTAAGAGGACACTACACTGGAAATAGCATCAACTGAGATGTCAATACACAATGAATTTAGCATTGTTGCTTATATTGGACACTATATGATCAAAAGTATATGGACACAACCATCCATATTCTCCTTTTCTGGAATTGGAGCTCTTTTGGGGGTTTGATTTTTAATACATTTTCCAATGCTACAACATGCAATGATAATTTAGGCAATGATGTTTTTCTAACTTTGTGTCAGCAATTTGTGTTTAAATCTTTCCTTTTTCACTGTGATAGTGTGACTATGAACAAAGCCTGCTGGTTTTCACAGCTGGAGTGGAAGAACTTGACTGTTCTGCACAGAACTGTGAGTCTGACCTTTGCCTGGATTTGTCTACTGCTGTCAAATCTGGTGGCTAAATGGAGGAGAAGTCCTGTTGCCAGGTATGAGTAGAATTCAGTAATTGGAAGTAACATTGACATAAGTACAGCTCTTGAGGACAGTTTTGACTACTTCACATTTCCATTCCACTGCATCATAAACATCGTACTTTTGACTTTTAAGCTTTCCACTTAAGTTATTGTTCTTTCTGTGATTAAAAATGTAAATTAAACAATGTGACACATATATAGAAAATGCCCATGAATATGTTTTAAAAATTAAAATTATTTTGAAAATAAATATGATCCAAAACATAGGATTGAAATACACATTACATATTAAATTCATATTGTCTTTCCTTTATTCTTGTCTTTATCATGTTCTCTACCATCGTCTTCGCTGCTACCTCTTTGCTAGCGCACAAACAGTTAGCAGTATCCACTAAGACACTCCCGCCTTGACACGCTGTCAAAAAATCCTGGCGAGGACCCTGAATGTTGTCCCATCCAGCTGTATGTCCGTCTGGGATGTTGTCATGGAGCCATGTTTCTGTTAAAGCAAACACACAACAGTCTCTCCACTCTCTGCGGGTTTCTCTCAGCAAACCAGGTCGTCCAGCTTGTTTTGCATTTGAAGTGTGGATGGTCAATGTGTCCTGCAATTCACATGAGTTCTCACAGCTAGCTGCATTCTTCATCGACGCACAAGCCGAGTGACCCACTGCTAAGAACTGTAATGTTTTTGTTTTGTTTCTGCGTTTCGGGGCGAGCACGGGCTTCATTTTATCAAAGTGTCACCCCCCGCAGCCCTGAGGCCACAGCTCAAAGACAAAATTTGTTGGAGGAAATACAAACCTCCAGGCACTCCACCCAAGACCACCCAGAAGGAGGCTGGGGCCAGTTGCCCAAACCTGGCGCATCCACACCGGGGGTTTGGGGGGGTCACTGGACCGGGGTTCCCCTGCCAAGGCCTCAGCGAGGCGACGGGGCAGATTGAACACGGAGGGGTCCCACGTCCGCCGACAAGCCCCTGAGCCAGACTATGGAGGGTGCCCGCGTCACGTGGCCTGAAGGTGGCGGCAACAGTGGCCCCAGGGTGGCCAGGAAAGGCCCCCTTGGCCGTTTGAGTTAGGAACCATAACTGATTTAATGAGCCATTCACAGTTTCACTGTACCGGCAGTGTATACTTAGACTTGCATGGCTTAATCTTTGAGACAAGCATATGCTACTGGCAGGATCAACCAGGTAGCCCGAGATGAAACAGCAGGGGGTGAGGCCACGTAGGTAGGTGGGTGGGTGGAGAGACAGGTAGGGAGGGCCTCACAGCCCACCCGAACCACCACCACCTCCATCCCCACGCCAGCCACCCCGGCCGTCCGCTCCCTTGCTCCCTTGAGCGAGCGGGGCTGCGTGGCACCCGGATGGGCCAGATGCGAAGCGTGGCAATAGGCATAACCCGTAGGGCGTGCGCCTAGAGCTGGGGCTCTAGAAACGGATGTGTCGTCTGGAGAGGCCCGCCATCTGAGCGGCTAAGGCGGCCGGTGGGCAGGGACCCGGCGACGGGCTCCGCGGTCGGGCAACTGGGGCAGACAGGGCACTTTGGTCTCGCTGCCGAGAATGGAAAGGCACCGACCAGGGGCAGGAGAGCAGGGACAGGACCCCGCTCAGCTCCGCTCCGTAGGGCCTAAAGAAAAAGGCGGGCCCTGCCAGGCCCGGAGGAGTGGACTGCCTAGAGCGCCGGTGGTGTGTGTGTGCGTGTGTGCGTGTGTGCGTGTGTGTGTGTGTGTGCTGCAACTTGCTATGTTACATATAGTTATAATGCTACTGTTGTGGACAGTGTGGCTGTTGCTGGCAACAATTATAAATAAATAATCCTCATATTCAGAGTAAGCATGCCTCCTTTGTGAACAGTCAATAGGGTCAGCCTTCACTACTGTATGCTCAGGTTGGTCATAATGGTGGTACTTGGAGAGTTCCATATTTTCTCAGGTGGTACACACTGTAAAAGTTTGAGAACCACTGAACTAAAGGGCAATCTATGCTTTCAAAAACAACAAATCAAGATATATACGTATGATATTTTTTATGACCTGTCCAGGGTGTCCCCTGCCTTCGCCCTAAGTCGGCTGGGATAGGCTCCAGCCCCCCCGCGACCCTAGTGAGGATTAAGCGGTGTATAGAAAATGGATGGATGGATGGATATTTTTTATGTCTGGAATGAGAGCTGTGATTGTGCTGAGCCAATCAAATGTTCCTTTAAAAAAATCTAAATGTTAATTACAGGCATCTTTTTTTGCAGAGCAGTTGAATAGAGGCAACGTTTAATTTGTAGCAAGATAGCAAAATAAGGTGTTTTGTTTGGGTGGATTCAGACATGTCGCGGACTAGATAGGAAAAAAAAAAGAAGAAAATGGAAATGAAGCAGCGGGTGTGTGTTTAAAAATGTGTGTACGCATGGCATGTTTTTTGACTTCAAAGGTTGCCTGTAAGAATAACCAAAGACACACTGATGATCACGGATGAAGTAAAGATTTAAAAGGATTTTTGTGTCTGACACTTAAATGACTCACACAGCATTGCGTGATTGAGTCACACTGAGCAGTACACTTAATCTGACAGTGAAATATGAGGCATCCATCCAAAACACGGTAGTAATGTCTAGTCCCAGCTCTGTTTACTTCTGTCCTCCACTTCCTGTCACTGCCTGCTCTGCTACTGAGTTACAAATGGCACCCCAAGGCACTGGCCTCAATTTCCATACTTTGTGGCCCACTTTATGAATATTTGTGTCATGGTGAACACAGTATGTAGCTCTACCAAACATGTTATCTTTCACTGGGTACCCACCGGGGTAATTACTGTACAGTGCCCTCCAAAAGTCTGTTAATAATCTGACTTTTCTTTTGGGTTTCTTCTTTGCAGATTCAAGGATTTTTCTGTCATTAGCTGCAGTTGTTTTCTGTCACTGACCTGTTCTTCAGGACTGTTGTAAACATCCATTTTTTAGTGTTGGTTCTCATGGATTCTTTTTGTTTTCTCTTCTTACAGATCAACATGACTAAAATGAAGGTTGGACACCCACTCTCCTTTTATATGAACAATCCATTCAAAAGGAAACATCTGGGCAACATGTTACATCTGCAAGTCAGTCATTTCCTTACTTCCACACACTTTGAAATGATTCCAAATGTAAACTTCTTAAAATAATGGTTTCAAAATCCAATATTATTGTTATCATACTTTTAGAGGACATCATTCTCCCCTCAGCTACCACAAATTCCAAGATTTTCTTGAATGCTTGCAATTATAAAAAGTAAAAACAGACACCAACATAAATAAATAAAACTTTATTTTCAGTAAATAAGTATGTACAATATTGCCTTCCATACTGTTTATAATCAAAAGAAGAAGAACAATTTTCCAATTAGGCCCACAGACAAAATGCTTTGTTTGTATTAACAGAGATCATGTACATGGATTGGATGTGTAAACATTTTAACAACCTTCAAACGTATAAAGCGCTCCCTTCACACACCAATACTAATAAAAATGAGATCCCAAATATCACATACAGTATCCTAATAAAAAGGCCAAAACTATCAGACTGTTAGTTGAGGTCTACTGACAGGAGGTGCTTCAAGTTGTTTCCAGTGAGCATCTGCCAATTTTAGAAACTAAAAATATAATTAGAAATAAGATAAATGAAGAATACTTGCCTTAGAACCTAAAATTATCCTAGTCGGAAGGTAGTTTCTCTCAAATGTTTGGAAAATTCTGTGTTTCAGACGAGGTGCTCAATTAAGTTAAGGACTTGTTGACATTTTTGAAATGTGTAGGAAAACTAATCACAAACTGGTGCTGCACTGTGGCAAAAATCACACTTCTGTGAGGATTAGACATCAGTAAACATCCCGATTTGGCGCTGTAGTGGCAATTGCAGTGTGGATTGCAAAAAAAAAAAAGAAAAGAAAAGAAAAAAGAAGGCATCAAAAAGCACTGCCTGTATTTATACTGAGTGGATGTTTCATTGTTCCAAACAGTATGAGAAGGTACAGGTAAAGTACCTAAAACAAAACACTTACCAGATTTTCACCTTCAGTTAAAACTCAAAGCTTGGATAAAACTCCTGTTCATATTTGTGTCAGCCGATGGTATATGCACGGCTTCAGATCTCGATGAACACAGCAGCGTCAACGGTGTAATGATTCAAACACTCTGTTCGCTTCTTAGAGAACCGCTCCAATACAAGAACTATTTCACACAGTCTGAGGTATCACGGGTCCATTTTCTCCTGCTTCTTGAAAAGCTTCATGAGCTGGTAAAATCTGTGAGCAATCTGAGAAAAAGAGTCAACAATTACTGGATGCTCTTTTGACACAGCCTTGATGTACATAACTACAACAAAAAATAGGCAGAGAAGTTTATTTACCTGCCCTGATGGCTTGTTAAGCTTGTCTGACAGGGCAGAAAAAGTCTCACGAGAGGCACCTTTTGTCTTCAAGTCAATCAGAATAGCTCGATCTTCATCTCTGGAATAGGCAAAAGAAACATACTGAGCAACAACCGCCACATCTTTATGTGGAACCACACAAACTTCTTAAACTGCTTCCAAGACATGTGTAAAAGTGTCACGAGATTTGTGTTTAATATGTGCCCCAGAATACATAGAGACATTTCTGGATAAACTTTGACAATACGTGACAGTGAAGTTTTATTTTCTAACAGGGTACCATGTTAGAAAAAAAAAAATGCAGTTGACAGGTTTTCCTGTAAAAAGCTGATCCCCCCGCTAAAGGTTTAAGCTCTCCGTCTGAGCTTATAGAGAGAACACTGCTTAGTTGATATATATATATTAATAATGATTTGTCTGTAACTACTTTGATCAAGGATTATTCAGTGTTATGCAAAAATGTCAAATATTTAAATGTTTCAAGATGTCGATTTTGAATATGTGGCCAAAACCTGCACTCAGTGACTGTGTCTGACAACCCATGTAACAGTGGAAGTCTTGCACAGTGGGGGATGGAAACACTGCAGTATTGTTTGTCAAGAAACAGTTCCAGCATGCAACTCATGAAACCACAAAACACAAACAAAATGAGACACATGTTAATCTGAACATTCAGTGGCGCTGAAAGATGCACCTTAGAGATTTGAGGCCTGATGGCTGCTTATGGTAACTAGGCTAACCACATTTGCACTTGTTTTAAAGTATGTTTAAATACTCCTTTAATATCATTTCTTCATCCATAATGATGTTCTTATGACTTACAAATATAAATTTAGCACTAAACCCTTAGACGTGTAACCCTAACCTTTGTTCTCAGGCTGTTTGATAAAGTTTTAATACATAAGGTTGAGGTTCACCAACTTGTGCAAAATGTCTGCCAAATAACAAAACATGCTTTAGAACATATAAAGTAAATGTACTTAGTTCCTTTTCAACATTTTTAAAGCAGTAATTCTGTTTAAATATGACTATTACTGCTATAAGACTATAAGGGCTGTAAGATCACAAATTACTGCCAACAATGTTGTGTATTAAGTTTTAAATCTTCAATTCAGACATTCCTGGGGAAGGAAAAGCGATGCAGTACAGCATCAGCTACTGACCTGGTCCACGTTATCACCACCTCGCCCTTCTTCCTGATGACATTCTTAGCAGACAGACTGTTGGGTGACAGACATGCCGTTGGCGAGTTCCACTCCTGCTCCCCATCATCATGCTTTAAATCCGACCCCATCTCCTCTGCGCTCTCCTTTTCCACCTTTCTGGACCTCTTTGCTTTCGATTTCTCTTGGTGCCTCTTCCGTTTTCTGCCGTTGTCACAATCCCTCTTGTCTTTCTCTGGTGAGCTGCTTGTTTCCTCTGCAATGCAGAGACTCCTCTCTGACTCAGACATGTCCATTTCTTCTCTCTCCAAGTCTGAAACGTGTGACCATGATGCACGGCTCTGTTGATTTGTGTCCGAGGTTTCAGCAGGGTGAGGCAGACTTTTATCCGACACAACAGTTTTAGAGGGACTGATCCTTTTCTGTGACTCACATGAAAGAGCTCTTGTAGGAGTTTTTGGAGTTGTGTCTTCTTCTCTGACACGTGTCTGACTCTCATCAGCGGTGACGGCAGACTTTTGAGAACAGCTGTTTAAACCGTTATCTGAAGGTGCAACTTCAGGCAGAGTTTGCAGAGGTTCTTTGGAAAAACAATCCTTTGAGGTATTTGGTTGAAATGACACATCTTGTTCTTTGTTTGCTAGTGTTAAACCTTCATCTTGAGTGAGATGGGTATCTGATCCAGTGTCAGCTTGACAGATTACAGAACGGTCAGACATGTTAGAGAGATTGTTCTCCATACGTACAGCATTGCAGGGACTAATATCTTTCTCCAATTTGTCTGTAAAACCAGCGCTTACTTGATGAGCTGCTACGTCGCCTTCACTGTGTTGCTGATCATCTTCTATTAAAGTTCGACTGAAGGTGTCATCAGCAGTCAGTGTGATATCTGCGCTTGTGTTCGCCTGCCGAATCTTCACTATGAAATGATCGTTGGACTTCTCCATCACCAGCGCCTGCATGGGCACGTCGGGCTTGAAAACGAAAGGCGTGGCGAGCGGTTCCGAGGACGTGCTGCTTCTGGAGCCACAGCTGGAGTTGTCGGTGTCGAGGGCCAGGTGAATGTCCTGCTCTGTGGCATCCTCCCCATCGAGCAGGGCGTCCTCACTTATGTGCGCACTGATGACGCTGTCCGGAGTGGACATGATCTGCATACTCATGCTCGATGGCTGCAGGAAACTGAGGTGGCTGTCAGACTTGAGAGGTGATGGAATGGTGAGGGAGACCGCAAGATCTTCAGCTAGAATGGAATATGTTTTCTGTGCAGCCAAGCTGGCCTGCAGCAGTGCTCGGTTGTCTGTTGGAACTTCTAACAGGCAACTTTCATCAAACAGAGCCGGGTTCAGTGACATCTGATCTTTGAGTCGTGGGGATGACATCTTACGAGGTGAAATGCTGGACCATGTGGTAATAAGTTTAGAGGGAGTATCAAATTTGGTTGGGGAGAGCAGCTTAGAAGGGGACTCAAATTTCGATGGCGTGGTGATGCTGATGAATCTGTCTCCATCCTTCCTTGGAGTACTGAGAGACCAGGTAGTGTTGTCTCCGGTGATGCCACTGCTTTCTAATAAGTCAGATCCTTGCAGGAGACACTTGAAGATTTCTCCCATTTGGGAGTCCCTCACCAGGTTGAACGTTAAACTGGAGGCTTGCTGTTCTGTGAGGAGCTCAAAGTCTGTTTTGTCGAGCATAGAGCCATTCTGACAGACCATTAAAGAACTTTTGTTACTTTTCTCTGGAGTTGAATGTAGATTTTTAGGAGGAAGAAACTCACCCACAGCTTTTGTATTTGGACAGTCTGGTGGATGTGAATCAGCATTCTCGTCTTTTTCCATGTGTGTGATTCTGATGTCTTTGCCTCGGCTTCCAAGGCCTGTTTTGTAAGGAGCCACAACGCATGTCTGATTCAGGCTATTCGGAGCAGACTGTGCTTCTTTTTGTTGACACTGTGGTTTCTTTGCGGAAGTCTGTTGAGACTCTTTCTCATCTCTGCTGGTCTTCTTGCCATCACCCTGAGCCCTTGCTGGTTTGCAATAGCTCTTCAGTGTCGTTTGAATGTCTCTGAACAAGTAGTCCACTTGGTCATCTACAAAGTCCCACAACTTTTGCTTCAGATCGACTGCCTGCTGTTCAAAAATGCGCTTCACAATACCGTTATTTGATACTTTGCAAAACACAGATGCAATCACCTTTGTCAGCGTGGACTTCAGCTCCTCTGCCTGGTTGCATATTTCACCAAAATGAGCACCATCCACAAACTCTAAAAAAGACTCCCGGAAATTATCCATCACCCCATAGAAGCTCTTCTTAGGAAAGGTTTTATGAAGCTTCATGTACTTTTTTCGGATCTCAGTGCGAACCGACTTGAAGGTCTCCATTATTTCCTCTACGGTGGAAAAAGAAGCTTTGCTTGCTGCAGGGCAAACTGTTTTAAAACGACTCCTTGGACTTCGTGTTGATACACCTGCTGTTTCATGGGTTTCTTTTGAAACAACCCGCCTTTCTTCAGGTTTCTTGTTTAAAACAGATTTTGATTTTGGACTTGGTTTATTTGATACTGGCTGTGCTAGCTTGGCCCTCTTGGTTGCAGGAACAGGGGAACCTGCAGCCGCCTCCTCACTTTCACTTAAAATTTCCCCTTCCTCCAGATCTGTTTCAGAGAGACTTGAAGGCAGGTCAGACACCTTGTCCACTTGGTTTGGTGAGTCACAGTTTGCGGGAGAACCTGGATACTTGTTCTCTTTGTTAACATCTAATTTCTTTGAGTTGGCATCTGCAGCTGTACTGGAAAAATCTGCAGAGGCAAGAGAGAAAGAATAGTCGGTAAGACAATAGAACTGTCTCTTAAATATTCATAAATAAAACAACCTTGCCTCAGGGCAGAGATTCAGGGCAGACTGAACTAAGTGTAAAAATTCTGGCAGGAGGTAGCACATGCACTTGGTAAGGTCTCAGTGTTGCACTGAATCCACTGTCCCTGTCCCTGTCAATTTAGATACTCGACCCTGGCCTGATTCTTTACAAATGCAGAGACAAACTCTTTACATAGTTTTAGTTAAACATTAAATGCACACTCAAAAAAACGGGGCTAATATGAATATTTTGGGTTTTTTCTTTAAGCTACACTGGACTTCATAAAATTCCTAACTACCAGAAACTATTCAGAATTAAATTTTTCCTTTTAAATGTAGTCAATGAGCCTCTATATTTTGACGACAAACTTGTATTTGTACTAAATAAAACAACAACAAACCATAATAGCTGTGATTCCTAAGGTCTGTTGTCTCATCATATTATCCCATTATCTAAAAATAGCAGATGATTCCCTTTAATAGTCTGTAATCTCTACATAGAAAGGTTATTTTCCTGTGATTGCAACTTGAATAACTAATGATTTTACAACACCAGTCTTCCATACATGTTGGTATAACCAAGTGAGTTTTCATAAATGTAACACAAAAACAGAATGTATTTGCTCAATAAAAAAATTATTAAAAGGGATTTATGGTATGCCCACTTTGTATGTCATATGGTGGGATGGTGCTAGAAATCCACCCCCACATCTGGATAATGGGTTGTCTGTATAACCCATTATTCTGTACATGTCCAAAACCTCCAATCCAACATTCAAATCCACTTCAAAAAAACTTTTCAATCCAGTGTCCATTCTGGCTATTTGTAAAGTCATTATTGTGCGGTCTGGCAGGACATCTTACAAACTACTTTTGGACATCACAACTCAATCCTTAAGAAAAAGTAAAATTGCAATAACAAGATACTAGGTCTACAAAATGGTATCAAATACAACCAGTCTAATAAAAACAGATGCAACGTTAAAAGTGACATGACTTTATTATCAGGCTCGCGTTACCTTTCTGAAGGCTCTTGACATGACCAGGCTTGCCGTTCACATGGGGAAGATTTCTCCTGGTTATCCTGACTGGGCTCCTCAAAGGGCTGATGGCATCAGGGATTCTCTTCAGATTACTCAGTGTGCGCATCATGGAGTCCTCATCATGCAGTAACGGCAAAAAACTTGATGGCTCAACCTTTTTCTCCTGTCTCTTTCCAGGACTGAAGATCTTCTTGGGTGTGACAGCGAGTTCACTGAACCTGTCTGGCAGCATCTTCTCCTCCGTCGTACTGCTGACTTTGGACACTCCAATACAGCCGGTGGAGGAGCTGGGCTCAGTTGCGATGTCGTTGCTGTCATTGGCGTCTTCATTAGTTAAAACATAAATAGCCTCTGTTAAACTCAGCCCTTCTTGTGGGAGTGATTCCAGGCTGATTGTACTGGATACAGCATCTGTATCTTTAGAAACATCTTGCCCACCACAACCATCTTTCTCAATAACTGAACTGGCAGAAGCAGAAGCAATGTTAGAAATTTGCTGACTTTCAGAATTGGCTTTGTCAGCAATTTCTTCATTCACATTTGTTTCCCTTGGTTGTGATGAAACAGCATCTTTTGTTATTGAATCCAGAGAGACGCTCTGTGGCACTGCTTGGGGGGGCTCTACACTTGTACTGAGCACAGTGGGTTGTGTAACAGCAGCGGGCAGACCTGTTGTATTTCCAGGGTCAGCTTTTTGTAGGTCGTTGCTTGTGTGCTGTTCAGTAATGCTTCCAGACATTTCACTTTGATCTGTGCCATTTGTGGCCTCCAGTGGTTTACACTCAGGTACCTGGCTGTTTGAGACCGACTTGGTTTTGTCTGCTGCTTTTAGAGAACTGGTCTCTGGAGATTTTCTTGCGAGTTGCACAGTGATCTGATTCTTTGCAGTATCCAGGGGTTTGCTATGAGCTGAGGTAGTTTGGACTGAATTATCAACTGCAGGAGTCTCACTCAAGCTTTTGTCCTTTTTTTGGACATATTTCACATTGTCAAATCTCTCAGGCATCTCCTCGAGATTACCTGGAGATCTCTCTGCAACATCTTCCAACCCTCCTTCTAATTCACTGCTGTTTACTTCATCAATGACACACATGTCATCAACGTTAGGCTGTGAATTGTCCTCATCTGATGGTTTTTCAACATCCTTGTCCACTGCTGGAAGGTCATTCTGGCTGCCATCGAATGGCAACAATGGCTTCTTAATTGGTGAGAGGGTTAGATTCAGTGTTTCCATAAAACTCAGCTTCCTGTTCGGACTATTTTCCTCCACAGAACTTTTCTCACCCACATTTGGATCTTCTGAGGATTTTTTGTGGGCCTCATCAGTCTTTTCTCGTCTTTCCTTACCACAGACATCCACTTTGCCTTTATCAGATTCTTTGGATCTCTGTTTCTCTCGTTCTCTGCTCGTCTCTGACTGACTGCTCCTCTTATGCTTTCTGCTAGTTTCATCTTCACGTCTTCGGTCCCCTTTCCTTTCATAATCCCTCTTTCTATCCTTTTCCTTCTCTTTCGAATAATCACTGTAGCGCTCAGCATGCTGATTTGAGGAAGACTTTTTTCGGTCCTTTGAGTCAGAACGTCTGTGGTGCCCTTCAACATTTACGTTGTCTCTACATGACCTGGAGTCATACCTTCGTCCAGTGTTTTTGTCTGTTCTGTGAGATCTGCTTTTGTCTGGGGCTTGGCAGTCCTTGTTGGGATCTGAACAACTTCTCTGTCTCCTATCTGTTGATTCAGATTGCTTTTGAGTTTGATGTTTTTCATCCCTATGTTTAGACCTGAGTTTGTCTGACTCAGTCTGTTTGTCACCCACTTCACAATCCCTTTTTGAATGACTATGAGACGATGCTTTTGAAGTTCTGGTCAAACGATCACTTTCTTTCCTGGAGGGTTGAGATGGATCCTTTGGTGGGTGGTCCCCCCTGGGAGGTGAAGTTGGTTGAAGTGGAAGAGGGAGGGGAGCACTGACTGGCGGTGGTGGTGGTGGGGGTGGAGGTGGCGGAAGACAAGGCGGTGGTGGAGGAGGTGGCCTACTTGTGGAGTTAGTTGTGGAGGTGCGACTGGAAGAACTTGGATCCCGTACATTATTTAGGTGAGACTGATGATGATGCCGACCTTTGTCTGACCTGAGGAAACGAACATTTGAACAACTTATTAATCATTTAATACAGATCCAGTCAGTACAGGCAGACTTTTCACTTCAGTCAGGTAACCTCTCGACTCTCAGTTCTTACATGGAATTATTGGAGTAACTAAATAAGAACACTTTATATATTCAAGTTGCAGCTACTACAGCCTATGTGAATGTAGAAGAAAGTGCAATGCTGCAGATGGCTGCTAGATTCTAAAGCCATAAAACCCCTGGCTCCAACTGACTTCTATTCAAAAAGCATCAACTTCTCTCCAGTCAGTACTAAGATAAGATAAGATAAGATAAGATAAATAATATATATATACATATATATATATATATACACACACACACATATATAGAAGATAAGGAATAAAGATACAATAATAATAATAATAATAATAATAATAATAATAAACAGTGCACATACATACATACATACATACATACATATATACATACATACATGCATACATGCATGCATGTTGTGAAATAGTGCAAATAACCAGTGTAATTTAAATTAATATTTTTAAATATGAGTATTGCTTTTTGATATATTAACTTGGCGGTATTGCACATTGTGGGTCTACTGGGAGCATAGCTGGTTGTAGAGTCTCACAGCAGAGAGGAGGAAGGACCTGCGGTACCTTTCTTTGGAGCAGCATGGAAAAGATACTTGGCACTGTTGGAACTTTCCAGGGCTTTTACAGTCCCATGTAGAGGGTGGGAGGTACTTTATTTTTCAAATAGTAATTATGGTCCTAATCACTAAATTTACGCACTCCAGAAGTGCACTGGTGGTGATTATTTGCTCTGATAATAGGTGTGAAATCTTAGAATAGGTTTTAATGTCTTCCCTATGGCTGTTGACTAATATCTGTGACCCCCCTCCCCAGCTCCTGAACCCACCCCGTCTCCAACTTTAAAAGCTTCTCTTTAAAGAATAAGCTGCATTTTTTTCTCCAGACATGCAGTCCTACTGTGTTTGTGGCTGAGTGGTTACACTATAAATAACACGAAGACTGTCTCACAGTATTTCTGAACATTTGATCGCTATACCTGTCCTTTTAGCTCAATGTATTGACGAATGTGAGCGTATGTGTAGACTGGTCTGTGGTTTCAGTGAGCTAGTATTGCTTTGCTTCAATTCCTGTTGTCAAAGAAAACAGTCCATAAGAACAAGACGTACCGTTGATTCAGCCTTTGAATCTCAGCATCTTTTCGTGTCACCTCTTGTCGAGCTGTTCGTAAAAGTGCAGAGATGTTCTTTTTAAGAGAGTGGTTCTCTGTGCTCAACCCAGTGTTCTGTTTATAAAAACAAAGAGACAAGAACATGTGTTAGTGTCGATGAAATTTTAGACATGAGAAACATTTCTACTGAAATACCCCCATGTGAGATCAGTTGTTTTGCTTCATTTAAAAACAAACAAACAAACAAAAAACAACGCTGTGACCTGAGCCCAGTTTGACAAAGTGGACAAAAAGATATTCAACCCTATCTGCATGTGTGTGAAAATGGCCTGTTTGAACAGGTGGGGTGTGTAGGTGAGAGGACGAGGGGAAGTGGTGGGACTACATGACTAAAGATCCAGAATTCTGTTAATGATGACATGAGAAAGTTTCCATGGGGATTGCTGTATTAAGGTTTACTTTAGAGAGTATTACAAAGTGAAACTAAAAGCAGAAAAAGTAGTGAACGCAATCTGTTCTTTTGCTCTTTTCATTTTCCATTTCAGCGTTGGACTTGTTTTGACTTTATGAATCTATTTTAGAGGCCTGCGGTTGGTCAACAAATCTGCTAACAAAGTAATAATCACTCAACTGCAGTGGCTAATGATTCTTCACAGAAGACGTGCTTAAACATTACATGCGTTATCAGTTAAAAATAAACCAAAATATATATCCCCAATCAAGAATAATAATATTTAAATACAATGAATCATTTTTAACAGCTGAAAAATAAGAAAAACAAACAAACCTGTAATTCCAACTGCTCCAGTCTCCTGTGCAACTCTTTAATTTGATTCTGAGCTGCTTGGAATCTGGACTTTAACTGCAGGCACACAAAAACCAAAGACTGTGAGAAGGTTTTATTTTATTTGTTTTATACCAGTCACACCACAGCTGCCCTGGAAAAACACCCTGCAAACAAAGCCACAGAGCCAGACAAAAAACACAGCATGCTGATCAGTGCACCAAGCCTGACCTTCAGTATGAAAGGTGTCAACAGCAGATCAAATGAGAGGAAGGAAGCATGTGGGGCCTCACCTCATTGTATGATGACTCTCTGCTCTGCTGTTCTTCTGCCACAATTTCTTCATATAGATCCATCGAGTCTCTCAGCTGAGAACCATTTCGAGGGGATTTCTCTGTAATGGACCAAAACAAGATCAAATCACATTTTATAAAGTTAGTCTTAGTCCTGAACAAAGTGCTAAACTACTTTTCAAGTCAGAAGAGTACAACCATATCAACAGTAGTAATCTGCAGCAACATGAAACTCTTTGAAAAAAGGACATTTACCTGGACTTTTGCTGCTAAGACAAACATCCAGGCCATCGTAGATATCCATAGATTCTTCACTGACGTCAGGTACCAGTACTGTGGATATTATACATGTGTTATATACATACACATGTGGACAAAATTGTTGGTACCCCTCGGTTAATGAAAGAAAAACCCACAACGGTCACAGAAATCACTTGAATCTGACAAAAGTAATAATAAATAAAAATTCTATGAAAATTAACCAATGAAAATCAGACTTTGCTTTTGAACTGTGGTTCAACAGAATTATATATAAAAAAAAACAACAACTCATGAAACAGGCTTGGACAAAAGTGATGGTACCCCTAGAAAAGACTGAAAATAATGTGACCATAGGGACATGTTCAATCAAGGTGTGTCCTCTAATTAGCATCACAGGTGTCTACAAACTTGTAATCAGACTGTAGCCAACCTCCCTGGATGTGGCCGCAGGATGAAAATTTATGACAAATGGAAGAGACAGATAATACAAATGGTAACAAAAGAGCCCAGAACAACCTCTAAAGACATTAAAGGTGAACTCAAAGGTTAAGGTACATCAGTGTCAGATTGCACCATCCGTCGCTGTTTGAGTCAAAGTGGACTTCATGGGGGACGACCAAGGAGGACACCATTGTTGAAAACAAATCATAGAAAAGCCAGACTGGAATTTGCCAAACTGCATGTTGACAAGCCACCAAGCTTCTGGGAGAATGTCTGATGGACAGACGAGACAAGACTGGAACTTTTTGGCAAGGCAGCTCTATGTTCACAGATGCAAAAATGAAGCATATCAAGAAAAGAACACTGTCCCTACTGTGAAACATGGAGGAGGCTCTGTTATGTTCTGGGGCTGCTTTGCTGCATCTGTCACAGGGTGTCTTGAATCTGTGCAGGGTACAATGAAATCTCAAGACGATCAAGGGAGAGAAATGTGCTGCCCAGTGTCAGAAAGCTTGGTCTCAGTCGCAGGTCATGGGTCTTGCAACAGGATAATGAGCCAAAACACACAGCTAAAAACACCCAAGAATGGCTAAGAGGAAAACATTGGACTATTCTGAAGTGGCTTTCTATGAGCCTTGATCTAAATCCTATTGAACATCTGTGGAAGGAGCTGAAACATGCTGTCTGGAGAAGGAACCCTTCAAACCTGAGACAACTGGAGCAGTCTGCTCATGAGGTGGGCCAAAATACCTGCTGAGAGGTGCACAAGTCTCATTGACAGTTACAGAAATCGTTCGCTTGCAGTGATTGCCTCAAAAGGTTGCGCAACAAAATATTAAGTTAAGGGTACCATCATTTTTGTCCAAGCCTGTTTCATGAGTTCATTTTTAAAATAAATCTGCTAAACCACGGATCTAAAGCAATGTCTGATTTTCATTGCTTAATTTTCATAGAATTTTTATTTATTATTACTTTTGTCAGATTCAAGTTATTTCTGTGACCGTTGTGGGTTTTTCTTTCATTAACCGAGGGGTACCAACAATTTTGTCCGCATGTCTATGTTATGAATTAATAGTGCTAAGTCGGCTGAGATAGGCTCCAGCCCCCCCGCGACCCTAGTGAGGATTAAGCGGTGTATAGATAATGGATGGATGGACAATCTTTGAGCATTCTGCGATCAAACTCAAGGCAGCAGCTACTGAAAACTGATCAAATATAATAATATTTAAAAGTATAACATTAAAAAAAAATATTCACTATGAATTGGAAGTGTTTTACAATTAAAAGATAAATAACAGTTTTAAGTCAGCTGTCATTTTGTATATCAGGCCTGCGATGGCATCTCTGCTGGGTATACTGATAAATATAAAAGGAAATATATTATATGGTATAAAAGCCTTATTACAAACCAGAAATATTATAATACACAAATACCATTTAGCAATTATAACTATATCTGAATAACATCCTGTAAAAACAATAGTTGTATGCTTACATCCAGACGCAACACTGGTGTCTCCGGTGCTCTCCATCCTTTTTAGATGTCTGTGTGGCTCAGTTTCTTAAGGAATATCTGAAAACAAATTCAATGAAAAATATTATTAAGTGAGGCAAGACCACAATTAATCAAGAACACTTTAATTATTCAAATATTTAGAGAGTGGAAAAAACAATCTTAAACATATTTCATGATTTTTATTATTTTAGATATAAAAAAGTGGAACATTAAATCAACTAAGTACATCTGAAAGACTACTTACTTACCTACTGCAGTTAATATCACAAATGTCTTGGGTTTGTTGTGATATACACATACTGAAATGATTTTGACTTTTCAAGTGTCAAAGATTTTTTCCATTAAGTTTACAATCTGGCTGCCATTCTTTTCTTATCTCTGGTTGTATTAGCTTATTGTTGGAAATGTTGGAATTCGACCAGCAGTAATGCTTTATGGCACTATTGGATTTTCATATGGATTTTGCATCAGTATAATAATGTACATTGATTTAGCGTTTTTGTCAAAAATAGATATTTGTGTCTGGCTGTTTCATCACTGAACTATTTCTCATCGATCCTCCCAGGAGATATACTGTGATAAATGCCATGTCACACTTTACCCACTTTGGAAATAATTATTACATCACTATTTGTTTTCTTTTTTTCTTTTTTCTTTTACAAAATCTACACAACAGCATCTTTTAAAGACGTGAAAAGGTCTTATGATAGATAAATAAGTAAAAATATGATGTAGTGAAACTGTAAACATTTCAAAATTGGCAGTAGATGGCTGAAAACCTTTTTGAGTCACAAAAATAGTGAGATAATGAGGAGATAGCCATTTTGGTGCCTAATAAAGAGAGAGCCATCACTAACTGGCTTGGAAACAGTGAAACAGTTGTCCGTTACAACCTCAAGAAGAAATGGAGTGTGACTCCACCATTAATCGCAAAGGAAGAGGCAGAAAACAGTGGTCACAGTGGTCTAATAAAAATTGACAAAGCTGTTGTATAAGTAATGCATAAATAATGCAACTAGAGCTGCAACGATTAACTAATAACTCAGTTAGCTATTGAACTAGTAAGATAATCACCAACTATTTTGATAATCGTCTAATCTGTAAGGTTTAAGACAATTTTAAAAAGTAAAAATTCTCTTATTCCATCTTTTCAAATTTGAATATTTTCTGGTTTCTTTACTCTATAACAGTAGACTGTATGCTTTGCAATTGTCAAAAAGGCTAGACATTTGAGGTTGTCATCCTTGGCTTTGGGAAACACTAATGGATATTTTTCACTGTTTGACAACATTTTATGGACCAAACAACTAATGGAATAATTGTGTAAATATTCAGTAGACTAATTAACAGTGAAAATAGGGCCTAGTTGCAACGCCATTCCTCACCAAACAGTTACTCAGTAATATTTCCATTCGATCGACAGTGATATGTATCTATGTCACAAATTATATCAGCCATGCAATATACAAATACCATGACAGGTGAAAAATCAAGGCTAATACACTGCAGCTAGTTTAACAAGTTATTACTCGGAGCCAAACTAGTGCTAATGGCTAAGTTGTTAGCATGATGATGACTAACACAACGGCTGGTCTGGCTTGACCCCTTCTGTTCACTACTGTCCAAACAAAGACAACAAAAAACAAAGTCTCAACCACAGAGCTAGACAGAAAGAAATTAATGCACCAAGAGAAAAGACAGTATACTGTTAAGTTATTTTCTTGGCTGAACTCCTTTTTCTAAACGTATTTTGCCAGTTTTAATACGACATTTAGCAAAGTTTAAACTCAAGCGTACATTAACATGACTTTTGTTAGCAACAAATGTTAGAGTCCGGTGTTAAACTATCACAAGCCCCAACGAGTTAAAAGTGAAATTTGCATTTGAAACGGGTGTTAAAAAAGAAAAACCTAACACCAACTTTTTATGATGCCTCTACGGTCACTTTAGCCACACTTTAAAGCTAACACAAATCTACATGCTTCTGTTACTACGTGTTTATACCTATCTTATTGAGAAGTGCAATAATGATAATTTATTTCGAAGACTGTCTTGTTTTCTGTTTTTGTTTTTTAAACATTTTATTGCTGTTAATAAAAAATGTTTGGTCAAGTAAACGACCGCTGGCTGGGTGACTAACGTAACTGCTACCTGTGTAGCTTCATACCAAAGAAAAGTACTTAGCCAATAAATTAAGGATGCTAACCCAACACACAGGATAAACATTCATGCATAACTCGAAACTTAGAACAAGATAGCTATGAAACTGCTAGACCTACTTACTTGCTATGTGTCCTCCAATTGTTTACAACTGTAATGTCGCGCCAAGACTTCATTGCACAGGAAGTAACGACATTTTCCCGCGGTCTGTCAGTGCAGTGGGTGTACTCTTGAAGCTCTAGGGTTTCCGAAAAAATACGCGTAAAAATGCACTCAAACCCTACAGGACATCAGTTGTAAAGGGACTCACTGGCTTCTTCGCTGGTTCAACTTCTTCCACGGACAAACAAAATAACAGAAAAGCACGAAACGGCAGCAGATGAGGTGATCTGCTTCGGCTAAAGTTGCAGTGGAAGTGAGGGTGGTCTGCGCTACCGGCGTCGCCGTCCGTCTGCGTCATCACTGCGCGACGTGACAGGGAAGCGCAGGGAGGGAGGGCGAGACTCGACCCGGAATCACTTGCGCTTCACTCACATGTGGACAGGATTTTAACACCAGTGACGGGAACGTGCTTGTGTGTTGTGATCACTGCGTCGGACACATACGAGAAACGCGTGATGAACCTCGCGATTTGCTTTGTTATATATTAGGAAGACGTGTTGGCAGAGCGCACGGGTTTGTTTTCGCTGAAGATTTGCTCCTCCTCAAGCGACAAATGATACGATGGAAAATTTAGAGCTGAGCCTGTCATCACTGGGCATTATATCCAGACATGTTGACAAAAGTCACAACGAACTGGGCCAGTATCTGTCAAAGCAGGTAAGATGTGTTAACTCCTTGGCTTGTATGGGATGAAATGATGTGGTTACAGTTATTTATTTCCACATTGTGACTCTGAACGCATCCTATGTGCAGCATGCAGTTACCCATCCTTCACGTGTCAGCAATCAGTGTGAAAATCACAAAATTGCAGTGTATACTATGTGTTTAAATCTACTGTGCTGACATCTTAACCCACACCATGTAAAAATACTAATGTATATGGCCCATATGTGAACTCATTCATGTTTAAATGGACTCTTTTGTGCCCATGTGACCTCTCCTTTAGATATGGAGCCAGCAGGACAGGCAGTGTATTCTGGAGTGTTTGGCTCAGCTGCTGCTGGAGAAGGATTATACTTTGCTGATTGCAAGACACCTGCGCCCGCTGATTCTGGACCTGTTGGAGCGAAACGCAGAGAGGGTCAAAGCTGGAGGCAGGATCAGCCATGACCTCCATGAGCGCCTGTGTGTGGCCCTCAGCAAACTCCTCGGCGTCAGTCCTGATGCACAGGCGTAAGTGGACTCTGTCATCTCTTCTTTAATCTTGTCCTTGAAAACTCCAGGTGCTGACTTTGGCCCAAATTCCAATCTCCACACTCACAGACTTTGAGGATTTGATATGTTTGTGGGTATTTATGGCTGTCCCACTGTCAATCAAATTTTAAAGTGCATGAGGGCTGCAATTGATACATTTCTGTGAGTCCACAAATCAGCAGAATCTCCCGTGGGAATTTCCAGTACTGAAATGCAAAATTGGTAACACAAAATGTACACGAACCAAGCATTGATGGTGCAGGGAAAAATACTGTTCAATTCTGTAAGTTTTGTTTGTAGACTTGTCTGTATTTTCAGTCTAACATCCACATAGGATTTACAGATGTTGATGACTTTCCTGCCTTTTGGTAGCTTGCTCTATATATAAATGCTGTAATGTCACAAACACAGATTGATCAAGTGGGCTGCTGATGAAATTGCAAGACACGGATCCAAATTAATTCACTTGTTTGTGCTGTCACAATCATGTGTCCTACTCGGTTTTTAAATAACATTTTGAGCCCTCACATACTGTCACACTCAAACTGCGATAGCAGTTAAGTCTGTGAGGGTTTATTGCTTTGGCCTTAAGTTGGTGATTGGAATTGAGGCTTGGAGTACATGACAACAGGTCTGTGGGTGAAGCTGTACCTGAGGCAGCTCATGATGATTAATTTTGTGCCAGTCATGAATCTCATATCATATTTGCTAAAGTTCTAACTTGGGAAGCTGAAAAAGACATATCTTTTTGTGACTCAGACTTGGAACACATGGCTGGATTAACTTGGTTGGGCACTGAGGGCAAACATATGTCCGGTTCCTCTTTTGAACTCCACCTTAATACATTTATCTAAAAATATGACATGTGTAGTTGTAATATAAACTTAAACAACAAAGGTGTTTTGACTCATTTTTGACTTGTGGCCGCTCTAGGAGACACAGCATCAAAATTACTAAAAAAAATAGTTTAACATTTTGGGAAATATACATATTCAAGGTTAACCCACTAAAGTTTAAAAAAAATAAAAAAATCCCCTTGCAATAACTTTAAAGCTGTCATTTGTGTCCAGCTTGTTTTATTAGTGGCCTGGAACTAGTTCTCTCAAGACGGTGTTTCTTGTAGGCATAATCAACACTCATTTTCTTTCCTCTCCATTAGGTTTGCTGCAAGGTACTTCAACGATGCCCCCCCGGTATTTCAGAGGCTCTTCTTCACCAGTGAAGAGTCGTCAGCTGTCCAGTATGGCCCCAAGAGGATGAAACTGCGGGACCTCATGGGTGCCACCCTGCGTTTCCTCCAGAGTGATTGTGCCAAGTTTCGAATGCTCTGGGACTGGAGTCCCTGCGTTTCCCAGCTGCTCACCAGCGATGTCATGGTGCGAGGGTATGTACCTTATTCACTTTTACACCTATGGAGGTTTCATGCTATACTGGTTAACAGATTCTCAACCACAGCTGGTTTCATTGGTAAAAATCCAAGAAGATTGTCCTTCATGTCTTTGTGGGTTAGGTCAGTTAAATGTTTTAAGCAAAGCACTTGGACTTAGTTCTCCATCTACCTTCTAAATGCAAGTCTGGGATTATTAGCAACACTTTGGAATTTATTTATTTTTCCAAGTTAAGTGCACGACTGCCTGGTTTTCTCAAACGTCTTGTCCTTAATGGTGTTTTGGTGTCAAAATGTCAATGTCCTCTTCATGTTTTAGTGAAAAAGTGTATAAACCTTGTGCCTATTAGTTTTATTTATTATAAATATGTATCGATGTTATTGTTGACAGCAGGTTGACAACTTAGCTACTATCATTTCCAGTTTTACTTCATGGTAGTAGTGCTGTATTAGTTTTACAATGCCTGAATTCAGACACAATGATACAGAGGTTTGTCTGTTTATCTCACTGTCACAGTAACATGATGTGGCTGTAGCTGGTTACTGGGTTAGTTCTGGGCTTTCTTTGATATTTGAGGGTTTTGTAGACAATAGTTCTGTAGATGAAGATGTGCTTAAAGCTACTGATGATGAGGAGGAGTTAGTTTTTGGGCCATTCATCTGATTCAATCTGATCACTTTAAAGCAGAACCAGAGCATGAAAGTGGCACAGCATTTTAGAGTACATATCAGCTGGTTAATTTAACAAACGAATAAATTATATTGTTAAAAAAGTATCTAAAAAATCTAAAATGCTAAAAATGCTCATTTTCACTAGTGAGGTTTACCAGCAATACAAACCAAGGGAATGTATTTCTGAATGGATAATCAGATAGCATGGTTAGCTAGCAAGCTAAAAAGCGGAATTTATTATTAACGTCACACCAAACGGACCAGTGTTGCAAAGTAGTAGGAAAAATGAGTTTTGACTCTGAAAGCAATACCGAAAAATGAAGTCAGACAAATATATGTTTGGAAGTGTGTTTGCTGTATTGGTTTGCTTGTTTTATTAATTTTTCTGGCTCAATTAAGTGCTACAAATGGCCTCCTCACCTATGGTGTCTTGGTGTTCTTATTTAGCCATTACAACACTGATAATACTGTTGTATGCCTTTCCTGCATTTTTGAACATGTTTTTTTCCTTGTTTTGCTCTCTACTTTTGTCGTTTGTCCAACAAATTACACCTAATATATTTTCTCACCGTCTCTGACAGGTACACTGCCCACTGTTTAGCAATGGTGTCTCATATGACTGATAATCAGAAAACCATCTTCCTGAGGAAGGTCCTGACAAATGATGAGATCCTGCATATGAAAATCAAGTATGTTCATTTGTTTTCGCTTTCCTCATTTTTCTGTCGTGATAGTATTGGGAAGATTTCTTTCATTTTAGTTATACTATTGAAGCATATACTTCATGAAACCAAGCTCTTGTTGACAACATTCGGTTGACCTATGCTTGTCCTGCAGCAGCAAGTCAAACTCTCTGCTGTGTAAAAGGTCTTTAAAATGATGCTGAATTATGTTGTATGTCATGACCTTTGCTTAGGGCTTTGGAAGAAACCCAGCAGCTGGAGGTAGAAAAGGCCCTGGTTTTAGCCAATCAGGGCTCTGTGATGTGGCGCCAGGAGAAAGCAAATAAGTTTACCAGGGGCCAAGTGGTATCAGAGGATCTGTCGTTGAATGTTGTAGCAGTCTGTGGTGTTGTACTACCAAGGACGGCTCCCAGACAGCCTGAACAGGTATGTAATCTTTGTCACATAACAAAACTTCCTGCTGTTGTTTCTTTCATGTTTCTAGCATTCATCTCTGTTTGTAGATAAACCCAAAGGATCTGGTGCTGGTTGAATCAACCTGCCGTAACCTGAGAAGATTGGCTTTAGCTGTGGCTTCCCAGAAGCCAGTGCTTCTCGAGGGTCCTATTGGATGCGGTAAAACTGCCCTGGTAGAGTTCATGGCTGCTGTCACTGGACATATCAAAGCTACAGAGATCCTCAAAGTCCAACTTGGAGATCAAACTGACAGCAAGGTGAGGGGCATAAAGGGGGATTCCACCAGTTTACTCATCATGAGGAGTACAACTGACCCTGTGAAAACAACCGTGTAACATCTTTTGTCGCTCTAGAGGCACTGAAGTCATAGTAACATCATCAGGATTATTTCTGTTTGGTGTTGAGATTTCTGGTTTTTGAATGTAAGTCTGCCTTGCAAACTGGAGATGTATGGCTTGAAAGAAGAAGGGAACTGAAGATACTATAGACTTGCATTATGTGAATTGTGGAATTCAGCATTTTTAACCAAAAGGAACAAAAAGTCAAGACCTCTTATCTCCTGTTGCTTTATTTTTTGCTATTCTATTTCTTGAGATTTCCCCAAAAGCACTGCTGGACTGACTATAGACAGGCTAGATTGACGGGTGAAAGTTTACATATGCCATTTGCTTGTCTCCCAGATGCTGCTAGGGATGTACCGTTGTACTGATATACCAGGGAAGTTTGTGTGGCAGCCAGGAACGCTGACACAAGCTGTATCTAAAGGTCAGTGGATCCTCTTGGAAGACATCGATCATGCGCCTCTGGATGTGGTGAGTTCATTCGTGTTTGTAACTGAACAGAATATCGTCTCAGTTTTTCCTGTTCATAAACCTAATATGGTATTATCACAAACCGAAACTGGACCTAAATGTTCTTTTTTCAGATATCTGTGCTCCTGCCTTTGATGGAGAATAAAAAACTGATGATTCCTGGACGGGAGGATTGCATCGATGTTGCTCCTGGATTTCAGTTCTTTGCTACCAGAAGGTAAAAAGATAATTACATCCTAATGTATGCATGCAACAGTGGCTTGGCTCCTAGTTTTACATTTACAGTGTTTATATGCACTGCAATAAATAATAGAATAGAGCATGGTCTGTCTTTTACTATTTTAATGTGCCTCTTCATGTTAAAATGTTATGTAGGTAAAGTTGTTGTTTTACTACTGTGTGATAACTGACATTCGGCATCGTTTCCAACTATGTTTACAGTTAAACTAATTTTAAATGGTCACAGCTGCTTCACAGTTAAGTTATGCTTAACGTTTTAGACAACAAAGATGTCACAGCATTTTCTTACTAATGTAAGACCAACATGAAGACTTGGCTAACGCAGTAAGTCAGTCTAATACACAGCCAGCTCCCGGGGATAATCCTAACATAACCTGTAATAGAATATATATATATATACAGTATATATATATATATGTTTTCATCCGTTTCCCTGACTGATCACAGTGCCAACAGCTGTAGTATATATTTCTCAAGACTTACAAAAGGACTATTGGTGCTGTCTCTGTGCTGTTTTTGTTTACTACTTTCTAAAGCAGGACTTGAATTCCCCCCCCACCCCTCTTTTTTTTTTTTTACCCTTTACTTTTCTTTTGGTCTTGTGCAACATTGGTAAATGGACCCTTCCCACAAATAGAGCTTAACATGCAGCCTAATTTATTAATCTGGAAGCATCAATTATGCAAACTGTCAAGTCTCATGAGCGCCCAGCTGCTCATCAACAGATGTCAGTGAAACAGGTGATTCCCAACAAGTTCAACAAGTTACTGTTAAAAGGGTTAGATGAATTCAACTCAGAATATACAGACACTCAATTGTAAACACAAACAGTGAGCTTGAGAATGAAATATCGTCTCATCAGCTGTCAGGAGTAGGTGAGAAGTAACAGTAAGTTGTGTTTGTGTCTTTCAGGATGTACTACAGTGGTGGTAGTTGGCACAAACCACAGAATTCCCATGCAGCTCTGCTGGACAAGTACTGGACCAAGCTGCAAATGGGCAACATGACACGCGAAGAGCTGAAGAAAGTGAGTGTGGAGGGTTTTATTCTCAATGTCCTACTGTTTAAAGACTTGTTTCTGTGAAAGCCCCTCTTAATTGTACAAAGCATACTTGTAAAACAGTAACACT